ACTAATTGTTAATTTAGGATCATCAAGGATGGTAATTAACTCGACTAATTCAATTAATTGTAATCTTTGTGGTTCTTCCGGAAGTTCAGTTAAATGTGATCGATGTGATTCAAAAACCTTTTGTATTTCCTGTGATGATATGTATCACCGTCATCCCAAGAGACGATTTCATTTGAGAAAAACAATTAACCAGGTAAAGAGTTAATTGATTCAGTTAATGAATATGCTAATTGTTGTTAATAATTTTCTTTAAAATTTCAGCAATCAAATGGATCTAATCAAATGATATCACCTTTAACTCGTCCCTTTCAAAGTTCATCTCCATCTCCATCACCATCGCCTTCATTATCTTCAGTTAATGTTAATTTTCATTCCGAATCACGATTGGCTTCATCATCACCGATTACCAATAACACAATTAAATCACAATCAATAATCTCACAATTCCAATCATCAGAATCTTCTCATCATCATCCATCTAAGATGCCAATACCACCTCCAAGGAGAAAGAAAAAACCACAAGAGGTAAGAAATTGATTGTTTACCATTAGTTAATTGTAATCGAATCTCATCTTTGGTTAACATTCAACTGGAACACAAGAAGAAAGAAAGAAAAATAATCATGATAATCACTGACAATTAAGCATAATTGATTAGGGAAATGAAAGGCATGATTTGAAATGACAATTGAAAATTTAACCAAAATGATCTTGATAATTTAAAATTTGCATATTCTAATTGTGATTAGGATCCAAATGGATCATTCTTACCCCAATTTGGTCAAACTCGAGTTATTCAATATCAATCTGGATCAAATTACCGATCAGTTGATCATTTAAATCAATCAGGACAATATTTCAATGACCAACAATCAAAACATCAACAATCTCAACCATCACCGAATCAACAACAGCGTTTAAATTACAATTATCTTCGTCCATTTGATGAAGAGTACAGAAGAGGAAGTTCAAATATTGGAACCGGAAGTTCAAATCTATCGAGTGCTAATAGCAGTAGCTTATCAAGTGAGCAATGGTCAAGTGAGGTTGGTTCAGCCGGAAATGTTGTACCACCGGCACTTCCGTTGAAAAAGAAATGGTCACAATCTTTACCAGGAAAATCTGAGTCTCATGGATCTGAACAGTCCATATATCAATTCAAATCAATATTATCACCAAGTAACTGGACAACCGGTGACCATTCAAGAGCAAATGATTATCAATCAACAACAGCAATCAGCTAATCATCTTCATCATCATAATCAATCATCAATGATTAATCATCCAGCGCTTCCTCCTCATCATCCAATGAACTTCGGAGCATCACCTTATCATCATCAACAATCAGCGCAATTAAATCAACATGGTCAGTATCATATGGGGTCAGTTTCTCTTGCTCAAAGTATGGAGGATCTCGGGTTGGATGATAGAGATGATCAAGTTTCAGATGAAGATTTTCCTGATCATGGGACATTAACTCGTAATAAGAGTAGATTATCATCATTAGTTAATCGTCGAAATGGTTCAATGAAACGATCTCAAAGTTCATATTTAGTTAATCAGCAATGGCAACAACAGAATCATCAACAACCAATGGTTCCACCTTATTGGATTAATCCTGTTTATCCAATGTATTCAGGAGGGTATCCGATGATTCCAGGGGGTGGTATTGGTCCTTCACCTTTACCACCTTCTTCTTATAATAATAATTTAAGAGCGTCACCCTCACCATCATTACGATCGCTTAACTTGAATCGCCCCAAGCGAAGTGGTTCAAGTCAATCAGTTCGGTCATCGGTAGTTCGTGAAAGCTCACCTGGAATCATGCGAAAATCATCCGTCTCATCTTCATCATCTTCTCACCATCGTTCCCATCCTCCTCATCCTCATCCTCATCCACATCATCATCAAAATCATTCATCACAATCTCGGAATAAAATGTTTGATCAAAGATCAACATCAATTCCCAGGTCACTTACGTCATCTCGTTACTCAATGAGAGCAACCGATTCAGAAGATGAAGATGATTACGCAAGCCAATCGGAAGATGATGAAATTGATGAGGAAGATGATGATAGATTTAGTCAAGCATCTTCGTTAGAGCCAAATAAATTGTGGACTTGTTATGCTTGTACCTATGTGAATAACCCGAACGCTGAGATTTGTGAAATGTGTGGTAAAAGTCATCCCAGTCGATTGAAGCGCATCGGTCAACGGGGAAAACAACCAAGGCCAATGAAAGAAGAGCCGACGAAAGAGAATCGATCAGTCGAATCAGCTAATCAATCGGTTGGTAAAAAGGGACCTGAAGTAGTTATAACCAGTGATTTAATTCGTGAACAAATGGAGATTGAGAAGGAGCTTCGTCGAAGGTTAGAAAATGAGAAACGAGTTGAACGGGAAAATCGTCGACTTGAAAGAAAAGAAGAGAGAAAAAGAAAACAATCATTATCATCATCATTAATTGATGAAAATGAAGATAATGATCATGATGATAATCAAGCTAATCAATTGATTGCTTCAACTTCATCTCAAAGGAAAGAACCAGTTCCATTGAGAATTGATTCCATGAGAAATAGTGATGATTTTATGAAACAATTTAAAACAAATAACGGTAATTACGATGATAATTATCATCAGGATAATGAAGATGATGGTCATCTAATCAATAGTAATAATAAGGCTGCGGTCAAGCATTTGGATAAAGCGATTGATAGTGAATTGGATTGGCCTGATTCTGTGAGAAAAAGAGATTCAATTGATAAACATCAGAATAATAAAGATAATAAAAAGGAAGGTGAAAGGTCAATGAGTCCATTATCATCTAATAATTTCAAAGATATTGAAGAAACTTTTGAAAAATTGGAACAAGAAATTGATCTAATCAGAAATTCAACTAATAAAAGGGCAACAATTAAGGAGGCTGAGCCTGTGAAAAGTGAAACAACAACAATTAAAGTTAATGATGAACCACAATCAAAACAACAGCAACAACCAATTGAATTTGAAAATAATGAGATTACAATTAAAAGTGATCAACAGATTAAACAACAGCAATCAGTTGATGCATCTTCAACTACAATTAAAAATGATCAGGGTAAAGATTTGAATGAAAATCATAATACTGGATTGGTGGGAATTAACAAAAGTCCAAGTGAAATTAATCAGGCTAACAAACCTGTTGATTTTAATTCTAATGAATTAAGTCAACCATTAATCACACCTCAAGCATTAGTTAATCAGCCAATTAATCAAAACCCACAATTAGGAATTGCTGGTTCACCAATTCCATTGAATTTACCAGCAATTTATCACAATCAACAACAACAGCAAACAAATCAGCAAATTTATCCATCGTATCCAAATCAATATCCAATGATGGGCCAACAATTAAATCAAATCAATTCTAGTCAATCAATTGTAAGTCCTGGTTCCATGTTTCCAAGTTACGACGTAAATAGATTACGATCAAACAATTACATCGGATTAAATTCACCAAATTGTGAAATGATCAACCATCCATTAGCAGTATACGCTGGCTCTAATTACCTCAACAGTTCACAATCAATGTACAATTTACAAATGGCAATATACCGATGAACCAATTGCCGAGCCATCAAACTATTCCAGATCACAATCAACCGCTATTTCCAGGTACTCGAACTGAGCCAAATGCTTTAAGTTACTTGGGTCATTCGAGTGGTTTTAACGGTAAATTCATGAGCAATGAAAATTTATCGATTGATAATCGAACCAATCAAAGTGCCGCTTCCGTTGGATCAACAACAGCTTCGATATCTTCAGCCCAATCTCAACTACAATCGGGCTTTCAAATGTTCAAATTACTTCGAGATGCCGAGAAAAAAGGTTTCACCGCTGATGATATTGAAATCGCTTTAACATTTAACTCAACTTCACCTTTAGATTGGTTAGATGAGAACTGGAATAATATGATTGAAACAGTTTTGACACTTTCCAACAATCAATTAGTTCAGAATGAAAAGAAACGCCTCGGGAAGAAATATAAATTAACAGCGATCGATTTAGTTACAACGAAAGACGCTAAATTGGCCTTACGATTAACCAAAGGTAATATTTGGCAGGCAATCGATAAATGTGTCCAACGGAAGGAGGAAGATAAATCTGATGAAAAGAAAGATGTAAAATCATTTAGTCTCGATATCGAGGAATCAGGTTCAGGTAAATCTAATATGGACGCTGTTCCGATCGCTTTGCTAACTAACCAAAACCAGCAGAACCAAGAGTCGATACGATTGTTACAATGTTCATCTTCGTCCCTGAGAAATGATAAAAATGAACTTAAAGCCGATGAAATAACTTTATCTCGATCATCTTCATCTTCTGGTGAATATTTTTCTGAACCTTCAGATGACAATGAAGATGAGATGAGAGAGAAGATAAATGTTGGCACCAATGTAAATGATGAGGATGAAGATGAAGATGAAGATGACGATCGATTGGTGGATATTGAAGTTAAATATCTTGACGCTGTTAATGAAGTGGAAGAGATTGAGGAAAATATTCTTATTGAGGAAGAGGAAGAAGATATCGAAGATGATGAAGAAAATGTTGACGAAATTGATGGAGATGAGGATGAAGAGAATGAGGAACTTGTAAGATTAAGGTCTGATTCAGTGGAAGATAAAGAAACAGATGATGAAGAAGATAACGATAACGAAGACAGAGACTATGACGAAGATGAAGATGAAGAAGATGATGATAAAGAAATGGAGGATTATGAAAATTTGAGAAAAAGTTTAGAGCAAAGATTATCTCAATTGGGGATTAACAGTATTGATGGTTATAATGATGATTCGGATGAAGATGGAAACCATGAAGATTTAGCTAAAAGTGATAAATCCCAAGAGGAAGATGAGGAAATTAACAGAGATTTTGAAATACTTAATAGAGATGATTTTGATTCAAATGATTCAGACAAATGGAGTCAACAATCAGAAGAAGATGAATCCAATCATGAACCAATCAAAGAGTCTATGGAGACTTTAAAAACATCCTCACAATCAGAGACGACAATCAATATAACAGAATCATCATCATCAAAAGAACATCAGAAAGTTAATCAAGAGAAACAATCAGATAATCAAGAAACTCAATCAATTGGTAATATTGAAAATCCGCTGGAAAAAAAAGTTACAAAAAGTTTGAAGAAAAAAGTTGTTCCATTAACAAATCTAAAGGAGAAAGTAACAGTATCGGAGGCCGATGGTTCTAACGGTAAATCAACCTTATTACCTGTTACACCGATCACTGAATTACCTGTAATCGATAAGGAATCGCTGAATCCTCACTTTGGTTATGCTCGATCGGCATATGAATGTGAACTGTGTGCAGGTTCATTTCATATTCGTGATATGGTCTCAATGATTTCGTGCACTCACAAGGCCTGTGTTAATTGTTTACGTCAATACTTTTCCGTTCAAATTCGTGAGGCCTCAGTGTTCATAATCACATGTCCCTTTTGTTCCGAACCTGTAATCTCATCGGACGATGAAGATTCTGTTTGTGATTATCTTTCCCTTCTCGATCAACTGGTTAAATCTCTGGTATCAGCTGATCTTCACGAACTTTGGCAACGAAAAGTTCGAGATAAAGTTCTATCTAAAGATCCATCTTTCCGTTGGTGTACTAATTGTTCATCAGGTTTTATCGCTTCCAATCCAGCGGCTAAAACAATTACCTGTCCTGATTGTAAAATCGTTAATTGTGCCTCTTGTCATAAGGTAAATCTAATTGTTAAAATGTATTAAAGTTTACAATCTAATCGATTATCTTTTCATTCATATTCAATCATCTTCATCATGATTCTGATAGATTTGGGAAGATCAACATACCGGAATTACCTGTGATCAATTCACTGAATGGAAACGATTAAATGACCCAGAATACTCAGATAATCAATTAGAACTTCATCTCAAACAATTCGGAATCGATTGTCCCAATTGTAATTTCCATTACGAACTATCCAAAGGAGGATGTATGCATTTCCATTGTGTCCAATGTTCCCATGATTTCTGTGGAGGTTGCAGACAAACATTCAGATTAGGATCAGTAAGTAATCACAATTAACTACACAACAATCAAATCAACAATCAATCTATTATATAAATTAGAATACAATCCCTATGATACTTTTCCCTTCTCCTTCCTCTTAATCACAAATTAATCACTAAACTAGTTCTATCTAATTAATGGTTAATTGTTTACCTTTACCCTCTTGATGCTTATTATTATTACGAAAAAAAGTAAAATATAATTGATTAATTCTGATGGTTAACTAATGATAATTATACTTGATGTTCCGCCTTCTTGTGCGGTTTCAGGATACTTGACTACGTTGTGATACACCATGGTACATTTAATTGACTAATTGTCAAGTTAATTTCTTAATTCTACTAATAATTAATTGTTAATTAACTCTTAGAAATGTAAAATCTCAAATTGGTGTGATAAACTTGGATTACATGCTCATCCCGAAATTGTTTATTTTATTTACGAGATAAGAAGTCAATGAATTAAGGCAACTATTAGATGTAAGAATTAAGATGAATTAATCGTTAATCCTATTGACTATCTAATCTTTAACCTAATTCTTATGTTAATTAGATTCATAAGATTGAATATAATATCATGAAGATAAACAATCAATCAAATGAATCTCGTGATTTGTATGATAATGGAGCAGAAAGAGTATCCTGAAGGATTGAAGGATTTGCCTGTGGCAATAATCTTGAAACCGCCGGTGTTTGTAAAGGTGAGTATTTTTCAATGAAATTAACTTTAATTGTTGATAATCCAAAATTAGAAGACAAAATTAGTTACCAATTTTTATCAATTTTTCTTCTTCTTCTTATTTGCCTTCAGGCAACATTATATCATATCTTGGTGGATTAATTCGAACATGAATCGATCAGATTGAGATTTTCACCGAAGATGAATTGGTTTTATGTTCTTCGTCGAGATAATCTTATACTTCCAATTAAGAAGAATGGACAAGATTATCGAACTATTCTTTATGAGGTGAGTTCGATTTCAAATATCAACTCGAAAATTTTGAAATAATCGCTGTTGATGATCGTGTTCATCTTTTTATGATACAATTTAAAAATAGAATCGCAATTAATACAATCCTTTAGATTACAATTGTATTGTAATTGTGATTTGTATTATTCTGTTAATTTTCATATTCATTTGATTGTAATTATCTTTTGATATTTAATTTCTATACAGATAATCAGGAAGGAATGTCCATTGATTAGAACCTGTCAAGTGATTTAATTGTTGAAATGATAATTTGGGCAACAATCAACGAGCATCATTCGTATTCATTGTTATTCAACTTTAATTCAATTGTGTAAATATTAATTATATCAATGAAAAATCGGATAATTCATTCATTTTCATGGTAGAAAATTGTGTTAATCAAATGTAATCAAAATAATTAATTTAATTTTCATTCAGAATCAAATGTAAATAAGTTTCATCTTCAACAATCAAGAAAAAAAGTCAATTGTTTACCATTTAGTTACAGTAAATTATAGTAAAGTTTTATAAGAGTTTCAAGTATCCAGAAAAGATCGCGTTGAATAACTTTGGCTTAAATCTGTATTATAAATTATTGGTAATTTAAACTACTCATTAAAAAGTGATGATTCTGCAAAGAGTTTAAATAGACCAATGTTAAATTTGTAAGAAATGAGAAGAAGACTTTGAGTTTGCATAAATTTTTAATAATTCGCGCAGGTAATGGTAATCAATTGAATATTAATTTTGATATCTAACTTTTTCCAATTTCAATACATATAATTTTATCTTTGTTTTGAATTTATCTTTAAGTGATAAGATGACCGTCTCAAATGATTAAAAATTTATGCAAACTCAAAGTCTTTAATATTGTATATATTATTATAGTTTTTAGTGAAACTTCAACGATCAACTATTTGGACTTATGGATCGGGTAGAAAATAAATTTTAGAATAAGTTTATTAGTGATAGCAAACTATAAGCACCAAGAAACGACCCGAAAGTACGTTTTGAACATTTGTTCTTCTTTAAGCACTATTCATATATTTGAAATTCTAAAATGAATGGTACTTGCAAACTCTTGAAAATGAATATCGAGACATGACTGATATAACTGTTGTATTAGTTATGAGTCGAGGATAACGTATATTTGTTACCAGACGTATATGTTTGTTTTGAGATTGTGAGGTAGTGTCAAGTAATCAAAAAAGCTAACATTGGTATGATAATCTGACAATTAAAGAACACTAACAATAAAGTTTGATATGAACTAAAGTACTTGTATTTATTTATCCAGTATAAGATGTTACTTAACACGAACTTGTGTGTGAAATTTTGCAGTGTCAAATTGGACGAACTCGTTCAGTCAATGTTGTATTCCAAACAAAGAAAGTCCATGATTGTTTCGAAAATAACATCATTTGTCTCGAGGTCTATCTCTATACCATTTGTTGAACCATTCGAAGCTAATTCAATTGCCAATTCATTAATATATACTGTGATATTTTCGACACTCCAATAGGCATGACCTTTATCAAAAACCATAAGCTCTTTTTCTATGATAATTGGAGACATTGTTGGAATTTCTAACTCGTGAACATACAATATCATTCCGTCCTTTATAAAGAACTTGTCAGCAGCCAATATTCTCCACTGATACGCATAAAAGTTTAGCTTACTGGAGCTCTGTACAGAAAACAAATGATTAGATTATTCATGAAAACTGTCAATATATGTTTGCATGAACTGAAACAATGAAGAAAAGCGATCATAGAATTGAAAAATTCAAATCTTAGAAAACAACTTTGCTTCTCATGTCATCAACACGGAAATAATAAGAAATAGTGAATAGAAATGAGAATTGTGAATCAATTAGCTCACAGAAGTTTTCACAGACAAACGCCATCAAACATTTATTAATAAATAGGAATTTTCTCTAAGCATTCGTAAAAAACATCTAACGGAATAGACAAAGTGTTTCGACCCCTTTTGATAGCTTTATCTATTTGTTTAGACAGCCACTTCAGTATGATACATTTGAATCTTAACAAATCAGCTGGTTGCGATGTACCAAAAAAATCGAAGTGTATCGAAAAAATGGCACTGAATTTGAACCCGTTAATATATTCAAAATTAAATAGTGTTTCAAATTTTCGTAACAATAATTGAATGAGTTCCAGACACCTTGAATACAATACTGACTCCAGACCAAAAGCATCCCAGATAGACTGTAAGGTTGAAAAAATGGGAAATAAAACATTACTTATTAATATTAATACATATAAGTAGAAAACATATGATTTGAAATGTATTTATATGTTTTTCTGACTAATTAAATTATCTGAATCTGCCGATATACATAACATGAGTGACAGATCAATAGTTATCAAGTTATCACTGATTTTTATGTATTTAGGCGGGAATGAGGTAAATTCATGTTCTATGTTGATTGAAGTTAAACTATCAACTTTTGTGGAATCAAAAGTAATTGGGTAGATTGAGAAGGTTAAATAACGTCGGATTATTGTTTTAAAATGTTAATATATTGCTTAATTATGCTAACGATTTGAGAGAAAAAAATTAATTTTCAACAAATTAATTGATAAAGTTTATGATAATGGGAAGGAGAATTTTGGAATGTATTTATATGTTTTTCTGACTAATTAAATTACTCTGAATCTGCCGATATACATAACATGAGTGACAGATCAATAGTTATCAAGTTATCACTGATTTTTATGTATTTAGGCGGGAATGAGGTAAATTCATGTTCTATGTTGATTGAAGTTAAACTATCAACTTTTGTGGAATCAAAAGTAATTGGGTAGATTGAGAAGGTTAAATAACGTCGGATTATTGTTTTAAAATGTTAATATATATTGGCTTAATTATGCTAACGATTTGAGAGAAAAAAATTAATTTTCAACAAATTAATTGATAAAGTTTATGATAATGGGAAGGAGAATTTTGGAATGTATTTATATGTTTTTCTGACTAATTAAATTACTCTGAATCTGCCGATATACATAACATGAGTGACAGATCCAATAGTTATCAAGTTATCACTGATTTTTATGTATTTAGGCGGGAATGAGGTAAATTCATGTTCTATGTTGATTGAAGTTAAACTATCAACTTTGTGGAATCAAGTAATTGGGTAGATTGAAGGTTAAATAACGTCGGATTATTGTTTTAAATGTTATATATATTGGCTTAATTATGCTAACGATTTGAGAGAAAAACATTTTCAACAAATTAATTGATAAAGTTTATGATAATGGGAAGGAGAATTTTGGAATGTATTTATATGTTTTCTGACTAATTAAATTACTCTGAATCTGCCGATACATAACATGAGTGACAGATCAATAGTTATCAAGTTATCACTGATTTTTATGTATTTAGGCGGGAATGAGTAAATTCATGTTCTATGTTGATTGAAGTTAAACTATCAACTTTTGTGGAATCAAAAGTAATTGGGTAGATTGAGAAGGTTAAATAACGTCGGATTATTGTTTTAAAATGTTAATATATATTGGCTTAATTATGCTAACGATTTGAGAGAAAAATTAATTTTCAACAAATTAATTGATAAAGTTTATGATAATGGGAAGGAATTTTGGAATGTATTTATATGTTTTTCTGACTAATTAAATTATTTGAATCTGCTGATATACATAACATGAGTGACAGATCAATAGTTATCAAGTTATCACTGATTTTATGTATTTAGGCGGGAATGAGGTAAATTCATGTTCTATGTTGATTGAAGTTAAACTATCAACTTTGTGGAATCAAAAGTAATTGGGTAGATTGAGAAGGTTAAATAACGTCGGATTATTGTTTTAAATGTTAATATATATTGGCTTAATTATGCTAACGATTTGAGAGAAAAAATTTTCCAACAAATTAATTGATAAAGTTTATGATAATGGAAGGAGAATTTGGAATGTATTTATATGTTTTCTGACTAATTAAATTACTCTGAATCTGCTGATATACATAACATGAGTGACAGATCAATAGTTATCAAGTTATCACTGATTTTTATGTATTTAAGGGAATGAGGTAAATTCATGTTCTATGTTGATTGAAGTTAAACTATCAACTTTGTGGAATCAAAAGTAATTGGGTAGATTGAGAAGGTTAAATAACGGATTATTGTTTAAAATGTTAATATATATTGGCTTAATTATGCTAACGATTTGAGAGAAAAAATTAATTTTCAACAAATTAATTGATAAAGTTTATGATAATGGGAAGGAGAATTTTGGAATGTATTTATGTTTTTCTGACTAATTAAATTATCTGAATCTGCCGATATATAACATGAGTGACAGATCAATAGTTATCAAGTTATCACTGATTTTTATGTATTTAGGCGGGAATGAGGTAATTCATGTTCTATGTTGATTGAAGTTAAACTATCAACTTTTGTGGAATCAAAAGTAATTGGGTAGATTGAGAAGGTTAAATAACGTCGGATTATTG